ATAGGTTAGGGTGGCCGCGGCGACGGCACTCCCACGAGCGCGGATAGTCGGATTTATTCCCGGTGCCCAGGCTGGATCCGTTTTAAGCATTCGCGTACAAACGCGTTTACGGGCGGAACAATTAATTTAATGGCGTTATTTATGTGCTTGTAACGCACCGTCCGCACTTGTTTCAAGTTTATTACAATTCCGCCGGTAATAAGGGGGTTATTAAACGTGTACAAGTGAAAGAAAACACGAAAACCGGCGTGTTCAGCGGTAAAACTCCGCTCGGATCGGCCGTACCTAACGAGGTTACATTCTTTATTGCCGGTCGGACGGACCCGGGGGATGCTAAGCGGGAGAAGAAGCACAACCCGGGGATCGTAATACCACAAAATTATAATGACGCGAAATTAATTCAGTTCCGCGAAGCGCGGCGAACTGCTAGTTAATTATCGGAAATTCGCCTTTGTTCCTAATTAGCTTATATTGCTTTCCCTTTGCTTTCGGTGAAATTGTCGGAAGGATGTGATTACCACAAGGAAAAAAAAGCCGGCCCGCGAATTTAATGATACCGACTTAATTCACGGCGGTTAATTACGACCGGAAACACACAGAAATCGCGGGCTCGGTTACCGCTCTACGCAAGCAAACGCCCTTTGCATGGAAACTTTGCCTTCGGGGAAGCTTCTTTCCCGATTAAAGGAAACTTCCAGACTTCCGGGACTAATTTTTTCCAAAAATTCTTTCAACGTTCTTCTCGATCGAAGTCACGATATCTATAGTTGCGAAATAAGAAGAAGGTGTCCTTCCGTGCGAGTCCATTTTGATTCGGTGATTCGAAGATGTTACTTAACTTCTTAGTTACAATTTAATTTTACAAGATTAATTACGTCATGCTTTAACGACGAGATTAACACGTTTCTTAGATGTTTGACAGTAATAAGAGTCTTTTACATTTCGGATAACACGTACTCCTTCGAAAATAAATACGAATTCATTATTGTAGTTATAGTAATTATATGTTTTTATTCGATATCGGTCATTTTGTACGTTACAATTGTGTCCAAGCAATTCAGTCGTCAGTACCGCGTCATTTATGTTCGAGGAATAATAAAAAAAAAAGTCGACGAATAACAATTTTAATGGACCGAAAACATTTCTGCTCGCGAAATCATGAAAAAATGTCTGTTTTCCGGGGGTTAATTGCCGCGGGTATTCCGAAATTCAGCGTTTCCGGTGAATCTTCGACGCGGAGTGCCCGCCGGTGTCAATTTGCGTCGATCGATCGGAAAACTGTGTCCTCCGCGACGTCAATTTGCGTCAGTCGCGCTTCCCGGTGACTCCGATCCCCGCGAGACGGCCAGGCGCGATTTAAATGCCTCGCGGACGGTAACGAGCGAATAATTAATTGTTTCGAACCGCGGGATCCAGATTATTAATTAAGTAAACCGGCGGGAAGACACGCGACCGTTTTCGCTCAGTGGCTCGTGACACGGGGAAATAACGATAAACCGCGTACGATAACAGTACGCCCGACAATTTAACCGGCAATAGATTCTTCGGGTACCTAGGAAAGTACCTTTCAAATCGGAAACACGATTAATTCGAAGCCTCAGGGATTGTAACGATATCAAAGCGCAGTCGTATTGGATAGAAAGTTCGGAATATTCGAAGCTTCTGCGAAGGATAGATGAGTATTAGGTTGTCCTATAATATTAGTTATTCAAATATATCACTTTCCAGTCTTTTGCTTATAAAACGAAGGTGTCCAAGTGTTTTAATAATAGTGTTCACCAGTATTAAAGCTGAATCCGTGTCATTAAGAAATTTACATTCTCAACGTTAACTAGCTTCCCAGAATTCGAGGCAAATCCGATTTTCTCGTATTCGCTATTGAACCTACCTTGACAAATTTCCTTTTACAATTCCTTCAAAAATTCTCCAGTTTAACATAAACTCAATTATTCACACATCCATCACAAACATACTTCCAACACTACCGTTCCAGTTTCGAGAGAAACTAGCAAATAACTCACTCAAATTGCCCTATTAATTTTAATCTTAGTAACCGACATTCCAATACTATTTCCCCTCGTCACGAAAGAGACAGTAATATTACAGGCAGCTGAAAAAAATCCCCTGGCGGTCAATGTGTGAACAGTTTCGAGATACAGGAGCCGTCCTCTCGGGCTCCCACGGGCGCAGTCACTTTTCCACGTTCCCCTCGAAAATTTCCATGGTCCTTCTTTCGCTATTGGTGACGAAAAGGGGCGTCGCGTCGCGTCGCGGCGTCGAGGCGTCGCGGAACAGGAGCGTCGACGAGAATGGCGTGGGAGGCGAGCGCGAGACTTAAGGGCTTTACTCGCGTCGAATTCCAAGCGTGCTCGCGCTACCTGCCTGGAATATCCTCTCGTTATATTTCCGCCCG